ATATTTAACTAAGTGTTAATAATGATTATCTCTGGGTGGAGTCATTATAAATGTTATTTATTATTTTTGTTTTCCTGAATTTTCCAAATTTCCTCCAATGATTATATATTATATTAGTAATTAAGAAAATACAGAATGTTTACAATATTGTTGTGACTATAGTAACAATAATATCCAAAATCATTCTACATTGATATTCCTACTCTTTTAGGCTGTACCAAAATTTGGAGTGACTTCCCTCTCTGGGTCAAATCATACTTTAATTCTTTAATCACAATGAAAGAAATTTTCAAAACTCTAGGAGACAATCAGCCTGAAGTTTCACTCCACCTTGCTTTACGATCAAGTACAATGCAAAATAATATTCAGATACTAGCCATTCTGCTCTCAGCCCCCTGCCAGGTGAGAGTCAAGGTTGAGGAGCAAGTCCTGGACCTTAGAACAAATATGGCTCAGGTTTTATCTACATTCAAACCCTGATGCAGAAACAAAAAAAAGAGGTGGAGGGGGAGCACAGTCATTATCCTTCTCAGGATAGAAAATATGGTCCTTAGACAACTGCTAATCACAACTCTTCTCTGTCTTATTTGGGAGCCAGAGGAATGATTTTCTGCTCCAATGTATTTATAAGGCATATATCCAAAAACAAGCAAGCAGGATTTCTTCTGAGCAAAGATGCTTTAAATAGGAGATTTTCAAGTGTCCTCTTCATCAGTGCAGATACGCAGGCTAACTCTGAGATGGCCAAAAGATTCTGGCAGTATTTTGCTCTCAACAATAATCGATAGTCAAACTGTTGATTCCGTCTGCTCCCCTCCAAAAACACAAAGCATTACAAGGTGGTGCAAGGATCTCAGGCTCCATTCATGGGGTTTTCCATTTCCAACTGAGGGGCATCCATTTTCATAACAGAGGGGCAGTGGTGTTTCAGTGGTAAAATTCTCACCTTCCATGTGGAAGACCCAGGTTTGATTCCCAGCCAATGCACCTCAAGCACAGCCACCATCTACCAGTGGAGGCTTTCATGTTACTATGATACTGGTTTCAGTGGAGCTTGCAGGCTAAGACAGACTAGGAAGAAAGGCCTGGAGACCTACTTTGGAAAAATCACCAGTGAAAACCTATAGATCACAGTGGTCCGATACTGTTGTGCATTGGGTCGCCATGAGTCAGGGGCAACATGACAGCAGCCAACAATTTTCTGTGAGAGATGTTGCTTCCTGAATTATCTTCCTTCCTTACTAGTCTAAAGCTCTGAATTCTTCAGGGACTTAGTTCCAACAATTATCCCATCTTTCCTCAATCTCTTCCTTCCTACTCCCTACCTCATTTCCTTACGCATGTAAACAAGCATAACATTCCTTCAACCTTTATGCCTCTGAATTGTTTTTAATCATGCCTGCATATTGGAATTACCTTGAGGAACTTTAAAAAATACTGATGTAATTAATCTATAGTAACAGAAAGTATATTAGTGGTTGCTAGGTGATGGAAGGGAGGGATTACAAAGGGGCACAAGGAAACTTTTGGAGTGATGGATATGTTCATTACCTTTATAGTGGTGATAGTTTTACAAATGTAAACATATGTCAAAGATATTAAACTGTACACTTTAAATATGTATACCTTATTATATGCCAATTATTCTTCAGTAAAGCTGTTGAAATAAATACTGATGACTGGGTCTCACTTCCCAAATTGTTTATGGGAGTTTCCCTTGGGATTCAGGATTCTCAAAGGCTCCACAGACGATTGTAAATATGCAGCCAAGATTGAGAACCACTGCTCTATAGCTATCATTCTCTCCCTTCTTCTTCACTTCAGTTTTCTTGAAAAGCCTCACTCAAATATCTCTATTACCACCAGTTTTTTTTCCAACATTTTTAAGACTGGGTTCTGAACCAGTACTCAACTAACCCTGTACTTGCTAAACTCACCTACAGACTCAAGACAGATCTATCGGTCACTGGAGTCCTCTCCTTACCTGACATCTCAGTTACAACAGTCAAAACTGTTAACCCTTCCCCTCCATCTTAAAAGTCTCTCCACCCTTGGCATCTCTCCTGACGTTCCTCCTACCTTTCCAACTACTACTCTTCTATCTCTTTCAGACTATTCTTCTACCTATTTCTGTTATTTGTCAGAGTCAGTTCTCTGGCTATTGCTTTTATCATTTTGAAGGGCTTCCCCGAATCATTTCAGCCATAACCAAATCAATACAGCTGCAGTTCAACCACCAATCTTCTCCCTAATCCTGGTTTCCTTTATAAATTCCACATCCATAGATTCAAACACCGATCTACAGCTTCACCTGAATGTTCTACAGATTACCTAAATTCAAAAAATCCAAAACAGAGCTTGTCATCTTTCCTTTATTTATATTTTCTTCATTTCCAATCAATGGAACCAAGCCAAAACCTCAGAGTCCTGATTCCTCCCTTCTTTCTTTCTATAAATGACCAGGACCTATTGAATTCTACCTCATTCTGCCATAGTGAGGATATAAAATATAAATCCAGTAAACAGCTCCTCATCTATCACCTTTAATTCCAATCCCTTTAGCTAAGGATACAACAGGCTGGTGTGGCCCTCTGCTATCCTCACTCTCCTCTGTCCTTATTTCCCATCATTTGCCTATCTAAAGCCTGCATTCAACTCATGTCAATACCAGCAGCTCTCTAAACTTCCCTGGTTTCCCATACTTCCTTGCATTCTCACATATTATATCCTCCTGCTGGAAAGTTCTTCACTAACTTCTTGCACTTGGCAAAACTGTATCATCCTTCAAAATTCTGCTGTGCACCACCCATTTGCAAGCTGGGTTATCCATTGCTGTCGAGTTGAGTCAATTCCAACTCATAGTGACCCTATAGGACAGAGTAGAACTGCCCCATAGGGTTTCTAAGGAACAGCTGGTGGATTTGAACTGCTGACCTTTGGGTTAGCAGCCTGAGCTCTTAACCACTGTGCCACCAGGGCTCCTAGACATTTCTTAATCTGCACTCCCTTACTACACAATGCATATCTCTCTATTCACACTTTTCACACTGTATTGTAATTGTTACTTTACTTGAAGGTCTTGAATATAAAGATTTTTAAAGATCTCTTAAGATTCATTACGAAATAATTATTAGGCAATATGATCCTGAATAATGCAGTTGACTATAAGATACATTTAAACGCTGGTTGTCACAACTACGCTACTCTAAAAAATGCAACCAAAAGCAGATCTCATAAAAATAGAAATACAACAAAGAAAGGAAGCACAGCAGGGATAACACATGGACCCGGCCAATGCCTCACCCGGTGTCCATATCCAGATGCTGTTAATGCTAATAATCAAGAATGTTCATAAACCAGCTATGGTAATATTTTTAGTAAATCAAAGAAGGATAAAATGAGCCAAAATCAGGATTTGTTTTTGTGATGGTTTCCTCCCTTGCCACTTTGTTTAAATGAATACTTGAATAACCGATTTTTGAAGCTATTATAGGTCAAAAAACCCAAAACCAAGCCCGTCGCTGTTGAGTTGATTCCGACTCACAGTGACCCTATAGGACAGAGTAGAATCTCCCCCATAAGGTTTGCAAGGAGTGGCTGCTGGATTTGAACTGCTGACCTTTTGGTTAGCAGCAGAGCTCTTACCCAATGAGCTAACAGGGCTCCAAGCAGACCTTAAAAGAGGATTTTTTTTTCTTGCCTTTCCCTACACTTCAAAAATATGGTCCTTTGGACTGAATATTCATCTTGAAAAACTTAAAATGTGTTAAGGGGGAAAAAAATGCTTAGAAATGGGGCAAGAGGTACTTGGATGTTAGAAGCAAAATGTTCTTACGGAAAACAAGCCTCCCAGGACTATCACATTGACTCAAGGTTACAACCAATCCTTATGACTTCATTCAGATAAGAATTCAAAAGCTGAAAACTTTGAATTCTAAAATGTTATATTAACCAAAGAGGTGGCATACCTGCTCCAAAAACCACTGCGTAAACCAAAGGACAAATAATTTGCAGACGGGCAGCTTGGCCCTACTGCCTGTGTAGTCTCTAAGATAAGTAGTGGCTGCCACTGGAACAAACCCCCCCTACCTGAAGAGTGGAGCTGCTGCGAGGCGTGTAATACTGTATTTATCAGAGAACTGATTCTGTGCAGTAGGAATCCGCTAGGGCAAAATTAAAATCATTCAGGAATGTGTCAACTCTTAGGATACAAAGCGGACATGTACGCGCTCAAGGGCAGATATACAGTTCGGCTGAAGCATGCTTAAACTCTCAACTTGGGGTCTTTTAATGCAACCATTTTCGGATAAAACCCCGATGATTTTCGAGTATGCTAAAATCAGCCCTGGGAGAGGAATAACTCATAAAAAGAAGGGGGCAACGGCTGCAGGGGGGATCACCAGTGTAATAACCAAGGAAGGAATCGTGGCTGCTTTCTGAATTTCTGCCCCGTGCGGGACCGAACACGGAGGCGAATACTGCTTCCAAAAAGGAGGGGGGTCGGCAGTGACCTTTTTGGCCACCAGACTGGACCAATAGCAGTAGCCTCGCTGGGAAAGAGACGGAGCATCAGCTGCAGTAGGGTGGGGGGCCCCCACATCTAGAACCAACCCGCAAAGGGGCTGCGGGTCGGGCCAAGGCAGAAGCTCCTGGGTCACGCCCGGAGGCTGGACCGCTCCTCGCTGGGAAGGAGAAAGACCCAAATCCGCGCACCCGGGTGACAAAGCTGCCGCCGCCTAGGCAGCAGGCGGGCTGTGCCCAACTTCGGGGCGAGAAGCCGTCGGCCGCAGCCCGCCCGGCCACCCGCGATCCCCGACCGCCCCAGCGCCGCCTCGCTGCGCCTCGCGCGGGAGCCGTTACCCACAACGGAGCCTTAGCCCCGGGGACAAAGTCCCGGTCCCCCTGCCCGCCGCCGCCTCGCCCCAGCTCCTCCCCGACAAAAAAGTTATCGTTCGCCGCCGCCCGGGGGGGCCCGGCGTGGGTCACTCGGCCGGACTCACCAGAGCGGCTCCCCAACTTTCACCTACAGAACCTCGACTTGTCCGGCTCGCAGCGACAGCGACGGCGGCTGCTCTGCTATCTCCCGAGTAGCAGCACTACCTGCCCCCCTTCTTCCTAGTAGAACGGGCCCCGGCGAGCCATCTTCCCCCTCCGCTCACTGACTGACAGCCCAACCCGAAGAGGCGCCGCTGCCGCCAGCCACTCTGACAGGCACTAGCAGGGACCCATCCCCAGGCAGCCAACCACCACCGGCCCACGACAGTTCGGCCTATCGCCGTCCTCTGGGGTGGGACCAGAACAACTTCTCCACCAATGAGAATCTTTAGCTGCTAGACCTGGGGCGGAGCCATGAGTGGCCGCCGGCCGGTTGTGGGCGTGGTCTGAGCAGTGGGTATGGTGGGGCGCCCGCGGGGGAGATGATTGACTGTAGGGTTGTGGCGGCCACTTTGCAATAGAGATCAGTGAAGGTATTTTAGTCTGAGCTGTTACAGTTTGGGCTGTCTCAGAAGATATTGACCTTACGCAGTGATGTAAACTATAATCACAGAAGAGAAACAAATTGTTTTATTTTCTTACACCAAAAAAAGAAAAAACCCAAACCCGTTGCCCTCGAGTTGATTCCGACTCATAGAGACCCTATAGGACAGAGTAGAACTGCCCCACAGGGTTTCCAAGGAGCGGCTGGTGGATTCAAACTGCCAGCCTCCAGCCTTAGAACTTAACCACTAAGCCACCAGGGCTCCAATTTCTTCGACAGGAGGACTTATGCCCCAGTAATTCCGTTCACCCCCACACATCTGTCAGTTTGTCATACTGTAGGGGCTTGCATGTTGCTTTGATGCTGGAAGCTATGCCACCATTATTCAAATACCAGCAGGGTCAGCCATGGTGTACAGGTTTCAGCTGAGCTTCCAGACTAAGACAGACTAAGAAGAAGGACCTGGTCGTCTACTTCTGGAAAAAATTAGCCAGTGAAAACCTTATGGATAGCAGTGGAACATTGTCTGATATAATGCCGGAAGATGACCCCCTCCGGTTGGAAGGCACTCAAAATACCACTGCGGAACAGCTGCCTCCTCAAAGTAGAGTCGACCTTAATGATGTGGTTGGATTCAAGAGTTTGGGGCTTTCATTTCTGATGTGGCAGACTCAGAATGAGAAGAAACAGCTGCAAATCAATAATCAGAACATGGAATGTATGAAGTATGAATCTAGGAAAATTGGAAATCGTCAAAAATGAAATGGAATGCATAAACATTGATATCCTAGGCATCGGTGAGCTGAAAGGGACTGGTATTGGCCATTTTGAATCAGACAGTCATATGGTCTACTATGTTGAGAATGACAAATCAAAGAGGAATAGCGTCAGAGTCACCACCAAAAAGAACATTTCAAGATCTATCCTGCAGTACAACGCTGTCAGTGATAGGATAATATCCATATGCCTACAAGGAAAACCAGTTAATTCAAATTTACCCATCAACCACTAAAGCCAAAGGTGAAGAAACTGAAGATTTTTATCAACTTCTGCAGTCTGAAATTGATCAGACATGCAATCAAGATGCATTGATAATTACTGGTGATTGGAATGTGAAAGTTGGAAACAAAGAAGAAGGATGGGTAGTTGGAAAATATGGCCTTGGTGATAAAAACGATGCCAGAGATCGCATGATAGAATTTTGCAAGACCAGACTTCTTCATTGCAAATACCTTTTTCCAACAACATAAACTGCGACTATACACGTGGACTTCACTGGATGGAATACAAAGGAATCAAATTGACTACATCTGTGGAAAGAGATAATGGAAAAGCTCAATATCATCTGTTAGAACAAGGCCAGGGTCTGACTGCAGAACAGACCATCAATTGCTTATCTGCAAGTTCAAGTTGAAGCTGAAGAAAATTAGAACAAGTCCACGACTGCCAAAGTACGACCTTGAGTATATCCCACCTGAATTTAGAAATCATCTCAAAAATAGATTTGACATACTGAACACTAATGACCAAAGACCAGATGAGTTGACATCAAGGACGTCATACATGAAGAAAGCAAGAGGTCATTAAAAAGACAGGAAAGAAAGAAAAGACCAAAATGGATGTCAGAAGAGACTCAAAACTTGCTCTTGAATGTCCAGTATGTAAAGCAAGTGGAAGAAATGGTGAAGTAAAAGAGCTGAACAGAAGATTTCAAAGGGTGGCTCGAGAAGACAAAGTAAAGTATTATAATGACATGAGCAAAGACCTAGAGTTAGAAAACCAAAGGGGAAGAACACGCTCAGCAGTTCTCAACCTGAAAGAACTGAAGAAAAACAAATTTGTCTTGGAAGAAGTACAGCCAGAATACTCCTTAGCAGCGAGGACGGTGAGACTTCGTCTCACATACTTTGGACATGTTATCAGGAGGAACCAATCCCTGGAGAATGACATCATGCTTGGTAAAGTAGGGGATCAGTGAAAAAGAGGAAGACCCTCAGTGAGATGGATTGACACAGTGGTTGCAACAATGGGCTCAAGCATAACAACAATCATGAGGATGGCCTAGGAGGGGGCAGTGTTTCATTTTTGTTGTGCATAGGGTCACCATGAATCAAAACCAACTCAATGGTACCTAACAACAACAACAACAATTCTATTCACAAGAATTTATCAAAATCTTATCAAATCCCAGGAGAAAAAAATGTATATTTTTGCAAATAGTAGTAAAAACTCTTCCCATCTTTGTAGACCACTGCTTTTGGCCTTAGCCTGGAAAAAGCAAAACATAATTCCCCAAGTTTCTTCTCATGGGCTGGTTTTTTTCTCCATCTTTCCCTCCCTATCCTCCCAAACACATACTAAATATTTTGTGTAACAACTAAGAATCCCAGCACATCTGAACTAGCTCCTGCATATAGTCCCTCTGTTTTTGACCTTTTTAACATGACGAACAAATAACAAGGAGAAGATATATTACTTGATATCAAAAGGGTATCAAACAAATTCAGATAATCACTGGGGCAGATTGACAAAACAATTACCATTCCCCTTCCAGGAAGGTAGCCAGATTAATAAGTAATAACAAAATACAGTGAGGAGGACAACAGAACTAGGTTCAATGAGCAAACACAGAAGAAAGGAGTGTGTTTAGGAAAGTCAGGGAACTGTGCAAGGAAAATGATGATTGAGTTGGATTTTGAAAGGTAGATAGGAGTTAGAAAAGAAAATCAAAGGGCATTTCAAGAAGAGGAAACAGCATGTTCAAAGGCATGGGGCTGTGAAAGGGCACTGCATGGCTGAGGAGCATTGAGAAAGCTGGTGGCGCTGAAAGGTGAGAAGCAGCCAAAAACTTGGCTAGAACAAAAGGTTGAGATGAGAGTTTAAAAGGCTTTAAGAGTGACCAGTGCTGTCCAACAGAGATGTCCAACAGAGATGTTCAACAGAGCTGCAATGATGGGAATAGTCTATATCTATGTTATCAATATGGTAACCACCAGTTACATGCAGCTATTGAGCACTGAAAATATGGCCAGTGTTACTGAGGAACTCAATTGAACACTAATGACCAAAGACCAGATGAGTTGTAGGATGACATCAAGGACATCATACATGAAGAAAGCAAAAGGTAATTAATTAAAAAGAAAGAAAAGACCAAAATGGATGTCAGAAGAGACTATGAAACTTACTCCTGAATGTACAGCAGCTAAAGGAAAAAATGAAGTCAAAGAGTTGAACAGAAGATTTCAAAGGGCAGCTAGAGAAGACAAAATAAAGTATTATAACGAAATGTGCAAAGACCTGGAGATAGAAAAACCAAAAGAGAAGAACATGCTCAGCATTTCTGAAGCTGAAAGAACTGAAGAAAAAATTCAGACCTTGAGTTGCAGTAGTGAAGGATTCTATGGGCAAAAAAATAAATGACCCAGGAAGCATCAAAAGAAGATAGAAGGAATACGCAGAGTCATTATACCAAAAAGAATTGGTCAACATTCAACCATTTCAGGAGGTAACACGTCGTCAAGAACTGATGGTACTGAAGGAAGAAGCCCAAGCCGCACTGAAGACATTGGCAAAACTCAAGGCTCCAGAAATTGACAGAATACCAACTGAAATGTTTCAACAAACAGATACAACACAGGAAGTGCTCACTTTCTATGCCAAGAAATTTGGAAGACAGCTACCTGGCCAACTGACTGAAACAGCTCCATATTCATGCCCACTCCAAAGAAAGGTGATCTGATGGAATGTGGAAATTATCGAACAATATGATTAATACCACTTACAAGTAAAATTATGCTGAAGATAATTCAAAAATGGTTGCAGCAGTACACCAGTAGGGAACTGCCAGAATTTCAAGCCAGATTCAGAAGAGGATGTGGAATGAGGGATATCATTGCTGATATCAGACAGATCCTGGCTGAAAGCAGAGAATACCAGAAAGGTGTTTACCTGGGTTTTACTGACTATGCAAAGGCATTCAACTGTGTGGATCATAACAAATCATGGATAACATTGCAAAGAATGGGAATTCCAGAACACTCAATTGTGCACATGAGGAACCTATACATAGACCAAAAGGCAGTCGTTCAAACAAAAGAAAAGGATACTGTGTGGTTAAAATCAGGATAAGTGTGCTGTCAGTCTTGTATTCTTTCACCATACTTAATCAGTCTGTATGCTGAGCAAATAATCTGAGAAGCTGGACTATATGAAGAAGAATACGGCATCAGGATTGGAGGAAGACTCATTAACAACTTGCAATACGCAAATGACACAACCTTGCTTGCTGAAAGTGAAGAGGACTTGAAGCACTTACTGATGAAGATCGAAGACTGCAGCCTTCAACATGGATTACACCTCAACATAAAGAAAGCAAAAATCCTCACAACTGGACCAATAAGCAACATCATGATAAACGGAGAAAATACTGAAGTTGTTAAGGATTTCATTTTGCTTGGATCCACAATCAACACCCATGGATGCAGCAGTCAAGAAAACAAGCGACCTATTGCACTGGGCAAATCCACGGCAAGAGACCTCCTTTAAGTGTTAAAAAGCAAAGATATCACCCTGAGGACTAAGGTTCACCTGACCCAAGCCATGTTGTTTTCAATCTTCATATGCATGCCAAAACTGGACAATGAATAAAAAAGACTGAAGATAAATTGATGCATTTGAATTATAGTGTTGGCAAAGAATAT